AGTTTATGAGGGATCAGAGCTTTGCGCTGGAAAACTTACGGACAAACGGGTTTGTTGAGTTTTGTTTTTCAATGGAAGCTCATTTGTTTATACAGCATATAAAACCTGACATCCGTTTTGTGATCACATCAATTTCTAATTGACTAAATATCTAAAGCAAGTTGAGTATGTTTAATGTTTCCAGACTTGCACCGCCTTCTTTTTCAGTAATCTGATCAAATCAACTCTGTGAACGACCTTACTGTTTAACAAAGTTCAACGGTAATTTTCTTTAGCATTTTATCTGCATGTAAAAAGTAAATAAAGGAATGTTTCAGACTTGGCCAAAGTATATTTGCATCCTATGTAAATAAACCTTGTCAGAATTTCAGCAGCTTCACTGTTTTGGTGATGTAACTGTGTACAATAATTGACTTCTAAGTTTCACAGTCTACTGGTATTAAGAAAGTTAATGTTACACAGAGTTGCATTTTTTGGACATGAGGTAGAGCGTTACTTATTATTTGATAACGATGCTGGGGAAAGAATAGTTCTCTACACCATGCAATTTGAGGGTTGTCTTGTTCTTTACTGACAATTTACAACATCTAAGAAAGAGGTTAGACGAATGGATAGGTGCTTCCAAACTTTTCACTGGAATTGTCATAAACCATCAAAGGTCAGCATTTTGAGTGACCTATTTTAAATAGCTGCACAATAAAATGATTCCCCACACAGTGACCCACATTACACCCATTCCTGTGCAGACGATTTGCACCTTTATGGTGGGCTGTTAAAGAAACAACCTCGAGTCAGGCACGGTTATCTCAACGGTACGTACTGCACCACGTTATATCCAAGACATACAAGCAGGAAAAATTCTGTTCCTCATATCCGGGGAATCAGTTTCAAAAAAATCAACAGCAAAGATTACTGAATGATACTACATCAGGTCCCATGTGCCATGCTATTATTGAAAGAAAAATCAGTTACTCAGCTGACAATCTGCGAAGTCTGCTTTAACCTGTTACGCCGTATGTGATGCCTTGGTGTTTGCTCCTGCCAAGCACATATCTTATCAAGAAGGCTAAAAATATTTTATGCTAATACAACTGTTCTAAAGAAGTGAGTTACAGTTATCAATTAATATCCCTCAGCTGACTCACTGTGGAAAATTACTTATTTCTAGGCGAAAGGCAACCCGTGAGGACTGTTTGTTTCAAAGAAATTCACATAGGCACAGCTTTTTACAAAGGTTATGTGCTTTCATTTTCAAAATTTCCACCACACATTGTGTCTAACTTCAACGTAGCATTGGCATTAGATTGTCCTATTACAATTTTTATTACACTGCTAACACATTTATATATATATACATATATATATTAACTAAAACTGACATTAAAAACTGACACTGAAGCCACAGCATTGGATATGCAGGCTTTGGGTAATAGTGCACTGGGAAGAGTGTAGAGATTCACAGTTTTCAGCACAGGAGTTTGTAGACTAGTAAGAGGATGTTGATGTGTTTAATGTACTGCAGTGAACTAAACCTTTAGATTTGTAAGGGCATGGGTGTCCCATATGAAACAAAGCAAATCTTCTTGGTTAAGGCTATTTTAGCAATTTATTCATTTAATTATCTTGCCTTTCATTCTTATGGTTTCAGTTTTGAGAATTTTTCCATCTCCAGTTTACCTTAAAGGTCAGATATCCTGTGTGATTTTAATGGATAACTTACAGATATTTTAGAGACAGCAAACACCACCATCCAGAAGCATCCTGACTGAAAAATGGACTGTAATCTTAGAATATGATTGCTCACTGAGCTTAACAGAATTGTTCACAAATGTAGATATAGTTTCTGTTTAGTTAGAAGAGCATTACTGCTTGTCCAGCTTAAGTATAACAACCTACCAGAGCAGTAGAACAAGGTCCCACCAAACCTGACAGAAATTTCGGATGATCCTTTTCCCCCACGAATTGACTGACTTGTTGACTTCTGGAGACTCCAAAACTGTAGTGAACCTGTGTTCAGATACGTGTGTAGATACTGCAGGTGCTGCCCCACCACAATGGCATTTTTATCTTACTAACTTCCTTATCCTGCTCCAATTGGCTCCTTATACAGGTTCACACCAGGTTGTATTTTTGCATATTACACACCCACACTCACGCACGCACACGCACATGTATCCGCGCATATAACATTACTTTTACATTCCTTGTTGCCACATTTCTTCTTGCACACTAAAACATTCATGAATAAGCTCACACAGGCATGTATCCAAACACAATAGAATGCCCTCACCAGGGTAATTACACTGTTTAAAGGGCTCTTGCTTAATTTAGTGTTTAACCTTATTGCAAATGTTCCCCTGAGTTAATGCACAAAGCAATATTTGTTTTCCTAGGCTCATCATGATGAATGAGGCGCTGACAGTTTACGTAGGAAGGCCTCAGAGTTATTTTTTTTCTTTCTGAAATTTGCCGGAAATACATGGCAGGGAAACACCGCTGGCTGAATACCTGAAAAGCCTGTAAGTAAACAGATCATTGAGTTTCCGCATCGCTTTGTGACTTGTTTCAGCTTTGAATGTGAAATGTCAATTACTCTAGTTAGGAGATTTTGATTTGCTAGTTAATGCTTTCAAACAGCAAAGATGAGCTGTTACCAACATGCGGTGATCCACAGGTGTTGAGTAAAGACAGACAGATGATCAGGTTTGTGTCATACAAATGTCAGTAAGCATCAGACACTTAATTCAGCAGTCAAATGTAACTTTAGTGTTTGAGTGCTGAGTGTTAATGATCGCTGAAATATTTTCTTTTAGGGTAAGGGTTAGAAAAAAGGCTTTGAAAAGAGAGTCAAACATTTATATTTGTCTTTTTTATAATGAGGAAATACTGATATCATAAATTCTGTATTCATCATAAGCTTTAATCAGTTGTCTTTTTAAAGTTCTTGCTGAGGCAGAAGTTGCAAAAAGCAGCTTTGCTCAATTTTGTCATCTCTTATTGCCCTGCATTGACAATGATCGGGGGGAGTTCAAGTATTCTATTTTTGCTTGACACCAATTAGGATTTCACCAAATTTGTAACATATCTGATCTGAGATGTGTGGCATTGTTACACTACCAGGCCTCACGGGACCAGAGATAGTAACAGTACTGTGTTGATAATATAAGCGACTTTGAGCGGGGTTGAATTGTATAATAGGCAAGAAAATGGAGAAATCTGTAAAGAAAGCCTGTCAGGTTACGTCGCCTTCAGCGGAGTTCGAAAACAAAACTTGATGGTGAATAAATGAACATTTCATATATTGGTGTATACGGTTGATTTATAGAACAACATTGCCAAAAAAACATTAACATTTTATAAACTGTAAAAAACAAACATTGCTCTATTGAACTGCGTATTTCAGTATTTTAGGATATTGACATTCCTCCCTCATTCCTTAGGCCCTATGATCAACACACTGGCTTGTGTGATCTCTGCAGCTCACACTGAGCTCACTTTGGAAGCGCCCTCTCATCATGTGTGTCTTCTACTCTTCCCACATTTCAGCCCCAGAGGTAACGAGGGAAGTCAGTGTTAGCATGCTTATCTCTAACAGTTCTCCTCTTCTCCCCATACACACCAGATCACAACAGTCTTAAAGCTGAAATCCATTACTACTGATCCCTCTGAACCTGGCTAACATCGTCCTACCTGCATTGGTTTCAGATTAGTCCCTCCAGCCTTGCAGCCCTTTGCTGCTTATTTACAACACCGGGTTTATATTCTGAATTTTTTGCACTAGCTTGCCATCCTCCTATCTAAAGGGTAAAATGCCTCCAGTGGGTTATTCGGGACCTAAGCTGTTTTCTAAGCGCAGCCCCACTATGAATACCTGACCAGATTGTACTGCAGTAAGATTAATACGGCCATCACCAGCAAATGGTGGTCACACACATCTCATTACGTTGGGCGGTTTGGTCTGCCTCTCCTTTTTTGTTCTCTCTCCATCAGACTTTACATTTGCTCTGACACAAAGAGAGAGCCTGGTGTTTGGCATTTCATTTCATGGATCTTCGCTCTGCTTTTTGAGGGTGGATGTGGGTCGACATATGTAAAAGTCCACTGGGGGAATCGGGAAAGAGAGAGACAGAGTGGGAGAGATCAAAGTCTGTCATATCAGCTCCACTCTGTGTGAGTCAGCCAACCAGCACTTT